TGCAGAGGGCCGTACGTCTCCTTCCTCAGCAGCGAAGCGCACAGGCTTCCTGTGAGCCCGGCGCCCACGATCAGCACCCGCGCCATGGCCCTGCGTCTCCGCGGCCAGGCTGAGGGCCGGCAGCTGGTGGAACGGCGGCCTGGGGCGCCTCCGCGCTCCGCGCTCCAGGCCCCGCCGGGCCCCTGAGCAGTACCCGAACCTGCCTGCAGGGGTCAGAGGAGGCTACCCGAGATGCGTGGCCGGTCAGCGTTGAAACCGCCGTTTAAGGATACAGAGCTGGACTCCAAGGACGCTGGAGCCGTCAGACGAGCTGTCATCTCTGGCCCGGAAGAGCCTGGAAATCGTGTAGGTTAGAGTGTGAGAGCCGCCTCGCCACAGGGCTGACACTGACTACAGCGGAGGCCCAGCCGAACCTAACGGCTAGGGTAACTGTCTAAGTCTATTGGGACCTTTTCTGACTTAATATTCCAAGTTTGACGCCAGAACAAGCTTCCTTTCAGTACCTTTATGGCCACTGTTCACATACTAGAAAAAGATTTTGGAATCAAGGAAAGCGTTTTCTTAAACTAGCTCTCTGGCTTTATCTGTGTTATGTAACCTTTATCAACCTCAATTTGTCCATCCTGAAATGGGGGACAATAATGTCCTGTATTCCAAATTTGTGGAGGTTAAAGATATTTATTGGGTTGACCAGGAAACCTTAGGTAACTCATCCCTCCAATAAATACTAAATTTTATATCAGATCATATTCTGAATGTTCTAATGGATGCAAAGACGAACAAGATAATATTTCATACCATTACCACTGGTTTTTTTCCTACCTAACATTGTCTTGAAAATTCTCAATGAAACAACAAAAAACTGAAGTCTGAACTATTTAAAAATAAAGAATTAAGTTATACTGAATTGTAAATAAATTATTACCTGGAGAACTCTAAAGAAACTGAATAGCTCTGAGAACTAATAAGAAAATTGACAATAGTAGCAAATTATAATGAAAACATTTAAAAATCAGAAGTTTTACATTATGTCTACATAAATAACCAGGTATCAAATTAGTGATGGATTAATGTGTATATCTAATAAAAGATTTAAAAAACTTGAAGAAAATATAGGTGAACATATATAGGCTAAGACATTTCTAAGCATAAAAATAAAAGATGGAACTGAACAAAAAATGTATACATAGTAATTTACAACGTGTATGTTACTAAGTACAAATAGTGAACAGATTTTTGAACATGTATTCAAGATAAACATTTAATACCCTTGTATAAAATCTTAAAAACATTAAATGCCAATACCCAAATGGAAAATCTTCACAGATTGAATAGAATTCTTGAATAGAAAGAAATACAGTCTGATAAACATATAAGAATGTTTAACTGTTCTATATTCAAATACAAATTAAAATGTAATACCATTTTTCTTTTTGGGATAATTACTTTTGAAAATGTTAGAAAACATTTTCTTGCTTGCATTTGGCAAGAACATAGTAAAATGCACCTTAATGTGTTATCAGTGGAAGTGTGACAAGTTACTGGAGTACAATTTGATAATATATCAAAAGTCTTAAAGCTATGCCTTTTAAATGAGACATTCCAAATCTAAGCTTCTAAGAAAATAATCTACAGATGTACATTAACATTTATGTAAACTTTTGGTTACCTCAATGTTATAGAAACATTGAAGTATACAAATCAATAGAAGACTGATTCTATTAATCCATACATCTATATGAAGCTACTAAAAAACATGTTTTTGAATGTATAAGTACATATAAAAAGTTAATTATCCCATAATGCTGAAAAACAGGCTACAAAACTAATAAAATTCCATATTCTTGTAAACACACACACACACACACACACAAATACATATGCAGTATTAGAGAAATATGAAAGGAAGATGTACTTCATTAATTTTAACCATTTTATAAAGACCATATATTTATAACCATTTACTTGTTAGTTAAAAACAAAGTAAAGTGAATAACAGAATAAGCTAATAAGTCTCTGCCTTAAAGCTGTTTATAGTGTCAGAAATTTCTGTGAAATTAAAAACAAATAATGTGATTCACAGTCACTTCTAGAATCTCAGATGTCTAGCTGGGAAGGGCATTTGAGGTAATCTATTTCAACTACCCCTATCACCACCATTTTACATACGTAAATATAGACGCCAAGCTTAATTGAATTTGTCCAAAGTTACACAGTATCTCAATGATAAGGCCAGGGCAGGTCCTCATGGTCTTTGAGTATGTACCCCCTTTTCCATTATCTGCTCCTGCTTCCTCACTTCTTGTTAACAGTCTTATCTTGCACAATCAGGCCTAAACATCATAGTCCTCTTGAATAGCTTCTTTTTTCTCATCCCTAATATCTATCAGTCCTCTGGTGTTTTTTTGACCTCTTCTCTCTCTTAAATCCAATCCCATGCAATTGTACACTAGAGAAGTCCAAATTCTACTTCCACCAGCAATGGTACTAAAGTGCTAGTTTTACTACATTCTTGTCAATGGTGGACATTTAGCGTTTTGAAAAGTACTCACCAAAAAATTGATTTTTGCTTAAGTTCAAGCAATATCTAGTTCTTACCTGAATTTTACAATAGCTTTCTAATTGGTCCCCCTACTCCTGGTCTGTATTCTGCACCAAGCATCTAGATGGGTCACTACCATCCGCAAAAAACTTTCAGTAGTTCTCAATTTCATACAGTGTGAAGTTCAACTGCTTGGCATTTAAAGAATTCAGTGATAGGAGTTCCCCAACCCATATGTATCTTATCTTGGTAACCTTTATATGACCTGTGCTATGGCCAAGTTGATTTATTATATGTTCCCCAAACACATCAGATATTCCACTTGTTCGTGGCAGTGCTAACCCTTTGCTTATGCTATTCTTAAATATAGAGCATATATTTTGACTTGTGTTTCCAGTTGTAAATTGCATTAATTTTTCACTATCTTTTTCTTCTCCTCTATGACCATCAAAAGTTATCCAGAATTTTGGATTCTTATGAACCACTGAAGAGAGGTAGCCATGGTGGCTTATGACTTCTTATTATCTTAATGTTTAGGATTGGGATAGCCACTCCAACTTCCAGCAAGGGTTGTATTAAGTCCAGAGCTATAACCATAAGGTTGTGGATCCACAGTTGGCTACTGGTACCAGCATATCTTTGGGAATGACTAGATGACCTACAGAGAGTAGGGTTGAAAATAGCTAGGATTTGGGAATGACTAGATGACCTACAGAGAGTAGGATTGAAAATAGCTGGGACAGATTTACTGATATTTAACCCTTCCTAGTCACTGTGACCTTTTCTCTCCTTTCGTGTTCCTGATCTTTACAAGGCTCTCTCCTTCTGACCATTCAAGTCCAGCTTAAAAGTCACCTGAAACAAGGCCTTTAACATTTGACCTAAAGAATGGCTACCCACTGACTCTCTATTCCACTAATGTTTTATTTTCTTTGTATCACTTTATCACTTTTAGAAGTTATCTTGCTTTTTTGCCTGTTTATTCATTTATTTCATGTTGTCTTTCTCCTACTAGAATTTAAGCACCAAGAGGGCAGAAATATTGTCACATTCAGTAAAGTATCCCTGGCAACCAGAATCAGAGACTGAAATCACTAACTGTTTGCTTAGCAGGTTTACAAGCCTTTCGAGGACAATGCTTTAAGTAAGATAAGCTGAATGGTGATATTTCAGTTGGGTGATTTCAATATTAAATATCTAAGAGAGTGCATTTTTATGTATAATGTGACTGTAACAATATGAAATACCATGCCAACCAGCAAAGAATATCTACTTGTGTGATTCACATCTCTGTCCTTACTTAACTGTGTTATTAACAACTTGGATAATCATTGATGGCATATCTAACAGGTTTTGGAGGGCATAAAATGAAGAATAGCCCCATGAGGCTATTTAAAATCATTATTTTAAAGATTTCAATAGGCAGTCACTGAGACAAATTTAACCAGAAGAAAAGTGAACAAAGGTATTCAAAATTTTACCCTTGTATTTAGAAAATAATTTTACAGAATCAGGAAAAGAAAGCTTAGAATTTTAGTTAACCCTAAGCTTATTGTGAGTTAACTATACCAGAGCAAAGATACTCAGCTATGATAAATGAATTATAGTGTGCAGAACAACAGAGGTGATAGTCCCACACTGGACTGGCTGGACCACATCTAAACTACTATGTTCAGTGCTGGATAGCAGATTTTGAGAGGGTCAGAAACTGGTGCCATTCCAAAGAAAAGAGACCAGGATGAGAAGCAGACTTGAAATATGTGAGCAGGTAAAGAGGATGGAAATTTCTAGCTTAGTGAAGACTTTGGGGGAACATGAAAGCTATGTTTGAGTATGTGAAAAATATTAAGGGAGAAAAACAGTTGGAATATTTACCTACATTTATACCATTTCCAGTGTTCTTTATTCCTTCCTGTAGATCTGAATTTTCATTTTGTGTAATTTGCTTTCAGTCTAAAGAAATATTCGTGTTTTAAGTTGAGCATATCAGCCTGTAATGAATTCTCCTGAGCTTTTATTTGCCTGATTATGTGTCCACTTCTGGATATATATAAAAGAAGTGAAAGCAGAGACTCAAACAGATATCTGTACACCTATGTTCATAGCAACATTATTCACAATGGTCAAAAGGTGAAATCAACCCACTGTCCATTAACAGAGGAATGGAGAAACAAAAGATGGTATGTACATACTGTGGAATATTATCCAGCCTTTAAAAGTAAGGAAGTTCTGATGTGTGCTACAGCATGAATGAACCTTGAAGACATTTAAGTTTAGTGAAAAAAGCCAGTCACAAAAAGGCAAATACTGTATGATTCCACTTCGGTAAGGTAAGTGGAGTAATCAAGTTTATAGGAACAGAATGGGGAGTTGTTTAATGGTGGTGAAAAATTTCTGGACATTGGTTGCACAACAATGTAAATATACTTAACACTGACAAACTATACACTTAAAAATGATGAACATTGTACACAATTAAAACTTGTTCAAGAATACATGTGATAGAATTACCAATACATTTTTCAAAATTAAAAGTATGGAAGAAATCTCAATAAATCTAGATTCCTGAAATTAGATAGCTGGAGCACTCTCCATTGTGATAGAAAATAACTTCTTCATATCTAGCTGAAATTCCTTATAAAATGTAAAAGATTTAAAAAATATCTGCACTGTGAGTTTGATTTTTTTTTCAGATTTTTTTTACAAGCCACAGATTGACATTTCTTTGTAAAGCCATCTTATACAAAATATACCAAGTATTAATTGCAGTCTTATATTTCACATCATCTAAAACTAAAGAGAAGTATTTGAAATCTTCCAAATTTTGAATCAATTGATTTTTATATTCTTAGAAAATTTTATAAGCATTATAAATATTATATAAGCAATTGTTTGGTGGCTTAATTGAAGATCTTAAATTAGTAAAATTTCATTTTCAGGCTTTTCCTATAATTCTATAACAAAATTTCTACAAGTGTACTAATTTTTGTTCAGCATTCACCTTCTGAAGATTTGTGTATGTGTGTGTGTACAAGGCATCTTACAGTGGTCTAAATTTATAGGTTTAGATTTTGTTGTTGAAAATGCTTCAGAAATGCTTGTTGGACATTAAATTCTTGTTTTAAACATTTTTGTTGATAGTTTCTGACTTTTGTTAGAAAGTCCTTTTCAAATTCACTGTGTAATTTGTTGAAAATGTCTCAACATTGTTTATTGTATCGTCTTTAATTTTTTTTATTACAAGAATAAAAGGCTTTTCATTTTGGTCTGCATGGCAAGTTGCAATTGCTATTCATTATGAAAATAGGGACATGGCTTTTTCCAGTCTTATTTTTTCATTTACTGACCTGGTTGTAATACTAGCCTCTGCATCTCCACTCAATTTTGCATCAGTAATGTGATATTGTTTAATTTAAGAAATTGTCCACACTTAATTTATAAGAAAAATAACTAAAATAAATATTTCAGTTGAAATACCAACTATGATTTATATGACTGTCTCTGTAACTCATGTTGTCTGTATAAAATGCTAAACACATTACAGGTTACACCAGTGAATACAATGTATTATCCAAACAATGAAATCAAGTGACACTGACAAGATTGGTGGTGTATTTAGATGTAATATTGCAAAATACACGTGCCCAATATGCTCATTACAATAGTACAGTATCTTCTATAATGCAGCAGTTCAAGTGAAATATAGTCTTGTTAAAATAAGGAAGTTTTGTTTAATAGAAAAACATTCTATGCTGTTTTAGTTAATAAATTAAAACAATTTAAATAAAATTAAAATTTCATTTCCTCAACTGGCCATATTTCAAGTGCTCAGTGGCCACATATTGAACAGCACAGATACAGATTTTAATGATCTTTTTCATTAGTTGCTTTGTACACTTGGTAAGTTACTGTAAACAGCAAATAAAATGAATTACTTAATTTAGTTTAAACATATCCCATTGGTGGTTGTTAGGACTTACCAACAACTGTATGCCAAAGGTTCATCCTTCTGTATTTTCTTAGGATAAAAATATCAAAATTTGAGGAAATAAGGATATAAATTGTGTGGCCATGAGTTCTATTTGCCTAGGACAGTCCAATTTATGCATGTTTTCTAAGTTAATTCTTAATATTTCATTTTCAAAAGTGTCTCATTTTGGATAATAAGCCATGTACTTGTTCTAAATATAATGTAAGTACTTTAAAATCTCTGCTAGGAAACAAGTAGTGTATGTATAGTAAGATGCAAATCCAGTTAATACAGACAAGAGGAAATAGCCCTTTCCATCCTGTTTACATGAAACTATCCAAGATAAGTAACTAACCTTGCTGCCTAACTAGTAGTTCCAGAAACGTAGCCAAGGAGGAATATCTAGGCTGTGAGTACAAATGTCAATTTTTTTTCTTATGCGCTTAAATTAGCAGTGTACTCTGCCTTTGGCAGAAAAACTTGTAAATGCCATTTTGAAATTTGCTTTTCATTTTCAGTGAAATTTTAACTTCCAGTGAAAAGCACAAAAAAAATTGTACCAATTACAATACAAACCTAGACCAAAAGGGGAGAAGTCCAGTTTCCAGAAATTAAAGCTTTAAATTGGAAAATATTTTTTAAGAATGTAGTTTGAAACTTTTAGACCCACATAATTTGTGGCAAGCTATTAAAATGTTGCACTGAAGACTAGCCTAATATGTGAGAAAGACATATCAAATATTTGAATATAAATTATTTTCCTAAATTGCTAGTAAGTACTTTGTTTTGTTAATTGAGGAAGTCTAATATAGATTAAATGTTAGCTGTGTAACTGGCATACTAAAAAAGCATCATACCATATTTATTAAATTTAACTTTTATAGCAACTGTGGGAAGTAGGTATTATTCACATTTTATAAGCAGTGAAACTGATGCTCAGAGATTTTAAGTAACTTGCTTTAAGTCACTGGACTTGTGAGTGGTGGAGTAGGGGTTTTATAAACTCTGCATAATATCCTCCCAGGTATAGTGGCTGGTTTATTGAGCAAGACTTTTAAGATCTATAAGCTTTTGGGGAGAGAATTCAGTGATCTCTGTGGTTCCCTGATTTCTTCTTTTAGAAAGAACTTAAGTGTCATGGCTTCCCAGAATTTAGTACTCAAAACTCACTTCTCTGTAAATGAAAGCCAAACTCGGCAGGACTGAATGATAATTAAGTTATCCAAGCTTCTTAATCTACCCACCTGCCTCGCTTCCCTCCCCCAAACCCAATAACCTTTAGACATACTTGAAATAAATGTTAATCTTATAAGAGTAGTATTATACTATTAATTCAGGTATCAATTAACTTGTAGTATATGATAAAACTCTCAGAATAGGCTAAATAATACTATAATGGAGACTTCAAAAGGAATTTATGCTACAAAATAGGTAGTTGGAAAGCTTGGATTTTGGAGTGAAGCAGGCCTGATTCTGAATCCTGACTGCCAATTATACATATTGCATATGTGTTCTTAGACAATTTAGTTAATTTTTCAGAGGTTCAGTTTCTTATCTGAAAATGGTAATATTCCTCACCTCACAGAACTATTTAAATAGTCAAATGGTATTACTTGGTATAATTTTAATAGTATTAACATCTTCTTTTAAATATAGATCCCAAATGTGGTACCTTTTCAAAGTGATGTCCTTCATCCTAATTCTTAGAACTACTCACGATGCCTTTCGATATTGAAGATCTGTGAACTCTGAAGCAAATATAAATACTGTAAGTTGGTAGGGAATAAGTTGCTGAAATAATAAAGAATGCTACTTTTGAATTTTGGGTTTTTAACAGATCTACAAATTTATATCTCTGCATTATATTTTGATATGGGTCAACTAAATATTCTACACCTACTATTCTATAGCTCAGTTTCTCCTTCAGCCTTATTCTGTTTCTGTGATGAAAATATATGGAAATATATCCATATCTTCTTGGAGGACTTATAAATTATCTGTTTTATATATGAACATACATACAAATTTCACATATAAGCTTAGCTATATACATAGACACGCAGTCATTTATGGGTAAATATATTTTAATTTTTTATGGGTGAGTAAGTAAAAGTATGAGTGATTAATAGTTACAAAAACATTAATGGGTTAGTTCTTGAGATATCTCCTTGAGGGCAGAGGGTTTTACTTTTATTCATGAATCTCTAGTGTATAAAACTGATGCTTAGTAGGTGTTCTATAAAACTATTTATTATTGAATGTATCAGTGAATTAATGAAAATAAAAATAGGACAGAGGTTTATAGAGAATACAAAAGTGCATTATTACATTGATAGGTTAGATTAATTAGGTTATATTAATTGGCTAGCAATCTTATTTGAAAGCTTTGCTTTTTCTTTATCTAGAGCCAAATTATTTCCTACTGGGGCTACCCAGATGAAGCATATGATATTGTAACTGAAGATGGTTATATCCTTGGCCTTTATAGAATTCCTTACAGGAAGACAAGCAATGGTAACAATTCAGGAAATATTCATTTCAAGATAAATTGGTGACTATCTGGGACCTGAAGTTCTTAATTTTCCCATTTCTTTTCAGTGAGTTAAGGACAAGAAAAAGATTTGAATATTAAGTGAATAATTAACTTCTCATATATCTCTACATATGTCAAGAAGAGTCTAATTCTCCAGTGGCTTCCTGTTCACTGAATAGTTTTAAAGTATGGTGAAACATAAGTTGTTTCTCCCATGTTTTCTCTGTGTATCACTTTACACATACATGTTGATTGTCTAGAATTTTCTTTGCTTAACGAGGAGTTAGAAATGCTCTAAAACACAATCATATTATTCTGTAGGTTTTAAGAATGGCTTGTAAATAGTTCCTTCCTTGTCTTTATGGTTCTCTCCTCTAGTAAAGCAAAGACATCAAGTTGGTAGCAGCCTCATGGCTCTTTAGTCCAAAAATAAGTACATTACTATCAGAAGAGTGAGCCACAAAAACAAAAGGGGTTGGGAGCTAGAATTTGTCACTAGGTTTATAATCTTACATCTGACACTTACTAGCATAACATGTAACATTACTTTTGCTTATTCATCTAATTGCTCAAAAGCCAGGATTTTTCTTCTTTTCTCTTTAGATTTTCTGATAGGATACCCACTCAAGCTCTCATTTTTAACAATTAGAGTGCATTTCAGAGAAGACACATTAAAGGGAAACATCAATCAATGTAATTTTGGATCCTTATAAGGTCACATTTACTAGGTAGAAAATGTAAACTTAGATTTAACATAATTATTATGCTCATTCCTCAGGGTATGACCCAATTTTGCAAATACTGTAATAAAGGAATTAGAGATAATTTTAAAATACAGTAAGTGACTTAGAGTTCTATAGAAGCAGAGCCTGAGACAGGTTCAGGTGCATATATTTTATTGATGGAATACTGTCAGAAGAAAGTTACGTGGAAATTGGGGTAGGGCAGAGAAGGAGCTAAGGAAGCATATGACTCAGCCAAGCCTAACTGCAATATGATCTCAGAGGAGCTCATAGATCTGTGAAATTGTACTACAGAGGTGGCCTCATCCTGAAGTTAGGGGGCTAGCTTTTTGCATTCCCATGTCAGTTAATCATTGCCTGAAGGCTACCCATAGAAAGAAGTGTAATCCCCTGGGTGAGGCAATTCCCATTTGCCTGGAGGCATTTCTACAGAGGAAGAGGTAACAGTGAACCCTCTGAAAGCAATGTTAACAGCTAGAAGAATGGTGCACCTGCTTAGTAAAGGAAATCTAGATAGAGCACCAAAATAATCTAATACAGTGCACCCATTGTTCCACTCAGCATCCACTTGTTTTTCATGTTAATTTTATTTCATCCAGGTACACCTTTTCCAGGATTCTGGCAGGTCAGAATTTCTGGGAAATCTACAAGGGGAAGGTTAGTGAGGCAAATTACAACATCTGCTATTATAGCTGATCCTATCACCGTAACTGTACTTCTCATCCATTCCCATCTCCACTACCCACAGCTGTAGGTTCTCTTCCTTCTCCGTAATATTCCCTGATGTGGTAAGCTGAACCCTTATCCCTAATGGGTATATGTCCATAACAGGTCATAGCTGCTGTACTCATACATGTACAGTTAAAACAAGACATGGGAGCAACAAAAGATGCCCCAGTGGATCATCTGAATACCAAATATATTTTTCCCTGTCTTCATTATTTATCAGCAGTCCTACTGCTTCATGATGTTCAGGGCCAATTACTCCTATCGGAATAGTAATTCCTTTCCTTGCTTCCCAGTCTTCTAATGTGAGCAGCCCAAATCAACCAGGAGCAATCATCGCTTTAAGTTATTAAGTTGTTTACTGTGTCCCATTTGGCATCTCCCCTGAGCCTTCAGGGTGATGTGTCATTGCTCTCCCAGACTGGCAGCCTCTTGGTGGTTGTTATGTGGTAGGACCAGTGGCCTTCCATGGCCATGTGGCAGTGAGTGCACCTTCTTTGACCTGAAGTATGTATCCCTTGATTCGAGGTGATGTTATGAGGGGTTCTATGTGGGTTGATTAGACTCTCCATGGAGTCTTGTATGGTGGTACTGGCTGTGGTACTGTGTGGAAGGAAAGGAAAATCAAAGCAGACATGTATATCAATCCTAGTCATAATGGCTAGTTGACCTTTCCATGAGAGAAAAAGTCTGATGTACCCAACTTCTGGGAGCCATGCTACTCAAGTTGTGTAGTGAAGCTCAGGCTGGAAGAAGATCCCTGTAAGGCAGAGGCCTTTGCAGCTGGCTCCCTCTATTACCCACCTTGATTTTATTATTTTCCATTATACTATTGGCTTTGTTTTTACTTGCATGGTTGCTAAAGACTAAGCTAACCTTTGCAGCATGGAAAAGATGAGAACATAAACTTCCCAAAAGCTTTTCAGGACAGTGCTCCTGAAGAATAGAACACGCAGGGGCCAAATGGCGATCTTACCATGAAGTACTGAAACCTGCTGTTAGTTAAACATTGACCACCCCATTTCCACTGAGAATGCCCCTCTTACAATGCTAGTGAAACTAGTGATGGAAAGTTTTCTAGAAATCAAGTTATGAGAGAATATTGAATAGAATAACCCTGTTGACAATTAATGATCTCATGTTTTCTTCCCTCTACTACTTCTATAGTTTGTTTTTCTTCTTTCCTAATTACAGCCCTTACTAGAATTTGTGCCTCATACATGAAATTACCAAGTACCATAATTTTCCAGGAAGTAAAGATACCTCAAAACAAGTGCTGGGCATAGAAGCCATGGAGCATAAATCTGCAAAGAAGTGAAAAACTAACCTTTTCAAAGAATATTACTTCTCTCTCACTTACCAGCTTTACATCTCCCTGTATGGCCCCGGAAGATGGCTGGTTAGCCAGAGACGGGTAAGATTCCTCAAGGGAGGAACAACCTAAGACAGGCACAGTTACAGGGGGGCCCTCAGGTGAGAAAAAGGTGGCCAACAGAGGTGAGGCTTAGAACCTCATCCCCCCCAGTTTTGAGAGAAATCTTCTACGCCTATGGATGTTTTGTTGCCCTTGTTCAGCTTGGATTAAGACCTGGTCTGTAGGCACAAACCTGATCATCTACACCTGCCTTCTTACAGTTCTAAATCATGCTTTCTATCTATATCTTACATTTACCTACTACATTAACATTTTATTAGATTCACATATAAAGTATAAAAATCAAATGAATAATCATACATTATATTTGACGTGATTGTTTATAGTTTAAGGTTTGTAGTTAAAACAGAAACAGTTTCTATGATATGAATGCCCTTGCATTGTTCACCATGTAAGAACTTGTTTAGTCCCTGCAGTAATGGAGTCATGGAGACCTGCGTGGCATATGTTAGGGAGATTTTGGTATCCACACAGAAGAAAGAGAAATGTAGATAAAAAGGGGAAATTTAGTTTGATGCCTACTGTGCCCTATAAAGGGGTATAAGGTGAAGATACGAGTTTATGATTTTAGATTGACTATAAATTTATTAAAGCCTCTAAGAATATTTTTGTGGGAAAGAATCCTAGCTAACTGTGGCACTAGGTGACCTGTATTTCACCCTGAGCTGATAGACTCCATAGTCGCTGCTACATAGTGCACACTCCTACGGTCACATGCACTACTTAAAAACTGCATTGCATAGAAACGTAAAACACAATAAAGTACATGTTGATAGGAAAAGTTTCGGTCAAGGAACAGAAAAACAATTACCTGTCTAATGCTTGACCAACCAAGAATAGATTAGAAAGGAAAAGAAAGAAAGAAAGCTTACCTATACTTATTAACCAACTGCCTATACTAATTAATCATCATAAAAATAAAAAATAATCATATCCTTGTGCAAAATGGTATAAATAAAGCTGTCATTGACACTTTGTAGAGAGGCCACCTCCGTCTGACTGTGTGTCCTGTCTCTCCATACGCCGACTCCATCTCATCCTTTTGGGCTTCACCCCCCCCCCCCCCCCCCCCCCGCTGGAGCTGGACTACGGCAGCCAGCTTGTCTCCAAGCGACTGGTTTGGTCTCCTAGAGAGATAGTACCATGGTGAAAGCTCTTTTGCTGTTGGGTCAGACCTACTTCCCTGGCAGCAGACAGATCTGCCTTGTCGAGGGGTCCCATAACGATGGGCCAGTGTGCAGCCTATATCTCTGCCATCGTGGCTACTGCTTTTTGTGAGCCCATTGCATAGCCCAGGGCTGGCTGAAAACAGCATCTGGATGACAACTATTGGTTGAGTCATCCTATGCATCTAGTTGGTTAGTGCACCCTGTGTACTGTTTGCTCCCCTACCCCACACACAGATTAAGTGCAGTTCTGGAGGGCAGATCAGGGGAAGGATCAGAGGAGAGTTGATTGCGCCTCCTGCATAACTGCTGTTCCCTGTTACAGGTCTGTGCCACAATGGACACCTTCAGAAAACTCTTTCCAATCTTTTCTGTGAGGTTCATGGGAAAGAGCTTGCAGGAGGGTATGGACTTCCCCAGTTTGCCCTGCACCCAGAGGCTTCTCTCTCTTCTTGGAGCCTATACCTGGCCTTCACTAATTCTCCAGGTATTCTATCTGAACTATTCTGATTGTGTCTCCCTCATTAGGGAGTGCTTATTTCTGTCTCCCTGCAAGAACCTGTCTCTCTTCAAATTTTGGGCAAGATTTTTGCCCTGTGATATCAGCTCTCTGATGAGTTTTTTTTTAAAGTCTTGCATTTGAACTTAGTTCATTATAAAAGTGGAAGTGGTACTTCTTCCATATTACTATATAACCAAAATGGAATCAGAAGTTCTCTACTTCTGAGCTTCCAAATTCTGCTGCTGTCCTCACCAGTATATTTTTTTCGACTTAGTAAATAGAATATCCTCCAAGTTTTCTCAAAGCACATTACAACTGGGGGATTTTCTGATCATATTTATAGATTAAGCATATCTATATCCAAAATCTTTTATTCTTTCCACCATAATCTGTTCTTGCAGTTCTGGAATTTTCTAAGCTTCAAAGAAATCTGAGCAGAGTATCAATACTGACTTCTGAAACCATGCCAGTGTGTTAAATCCTGTGTCATACGAAAATAGTCCCATAAGGACAAATTCTCCCTTATCCAGGCCTGTGTGCATGTGTATGGTCCCCTTTGATCCAACACCTAGGTATACTCTCCCAGTTTCTGCTATTAGCCAGATTTTGTAGCTCCATTAGTGTATAATCTCTTCTCTCCTTCAGCAAGCCCAATCCTTCTTCAATTAAGCCATGTGAGAATTCCACAATAGTTACTGATTGAGAATCCAGGAAGGGTTTGAAGTGGATCTTGAGATGGGGACACTTTGTTCTGAAAGGTATGTTAAGCCAGGGCAGCACTATCCTCTAACAAAGAGGAGTGGGTCATCTCTGTATTCCCAGCGAGTTCAGGTAAATCTGGGATGCAAGTTTCTGAAGTTCGACCTGGATATGCTCATCTCAAGTCTCAGAGACCTACTGTTAGGAAGGAGTTTGGTTTGATGACAGAGAAGCTGAACAGAGTCAAACTAAAGTCAAGGAAATTAAGAAAGCAAGCAGGTTTATTACACTGTGTAATAGAGTGGGCCCTGACTTAATGTCAGACAGGCCTCAAATATTCAGGGAGAGTTTTTTTTAAGGGGGTTTGCACAGGGTTTTTAAGAACAGTAGTCTTATGCAAACAAACGTTTATTAATGAGCTAGCATAAGCTAATTTTTATGCTCTTAGAATTCCCCATGCTCACTAAGAGGAGCTAAACTGCAGTGCAGAATTATTTTAATGACTTTATAATGAAGAAAAGTCACCTCAAGACACCCCAAGAGTATGCCCAATTAGACTCTAGCTTGTGGAATTTCTCTAGATGGTTTTACTCTTCTTACGAGGGATTTTCTCATTAGTAGAGGCTATCTGTAGTTTGAATCTACTCTGTCCTCTCACTTATCTCTGGCTTCTGGCTTTAACACTGTTTCCCATCAAGGCCCTGAATATGGCATGGGGTTCTTCCCAGTTCTGAGAATTCAGTCTTCCTACAGTTCTACTGTTCGTAGAATTAGGTTCTGACCATTGACTTTTCATCTCAGTTTGGCTACAGAAGAGCGGGGGTGTCAGATGCTACCAAAGAGGTCTTATGACTTTCACACTTTGAGCTGTGATTGATCGCCCTGAGTCTGTAATTTTCTCTTTAGAACATCATTGACACTCAGTAACATCTACCCAATTCCCCAGACCTGATAAGTATATTTCCCCTGTACCTCTTAACTGTCAGAGATCTATACAAGCCAGTCATCCTTCTCCGGTATTGTAACAGGAAATATGGCTATTTCAGCCATTGGAGTGCCACAGCACAAAAGGTTTTTTTGTACTCACCTACAACAATCCTCCTTGCCAGCCAACCAGCAAGTAGTCCAACCCCATAATCCCATTATTTTTTTCTTTTATGGATTGTATGTGCTGTACCATGTGATAGACGCTGTCTTGGAATTATTAGAGCAGCTGAGTGCAACGTCAAATCTAACCATGGCTCTGCTACCAACTACCGAGCCGTATGACCTTGAGTAGATTGTTTCTTAACTTTGGCCTTTGATTCTTCATTTATATATTGAGAGTATTGTTTCTTACATTTTCTTCCAGTTCTTAAACGTGGATTCTGTATTGACAACTTTAGTAGCTATTACCCTCTTTTTATTTTTAATTTAATTTTTTAAACTGAAGTATCATTGACATACAATCTTACATTGTTTTAAAGTATACGGCACTGTGGTTCAACAACTACCCATATTATTAAAACCTCACCCCTTCTACTGTGGTTAATATCTGTCAACATAGAAAGATGTTACAGAATCATTGATTATATTCTCCATGCTGTATTACTATCCCCTTGACCAACTTATATTATCATTGAGAATTTTTGTGCCCTTTTATTCCCTCCCCCTCCCCATGGTAACCACCAGTCAGTGCTCAGTGTCTGTGAGTTTAGTGCTATTTTGTTTCTTCGGTTTTGCTTTGTTTTTATATTCCACAAATAAATGAAATCATATGGTATTTGTCATTCTTCATCTGGTTTATTTCACTGAGCATAGCATCCTCTAGATCCACCCACATCATTGCAAATGGCTGTATTTCTCTCTTTTTAATTGCTGAATAATATTGCATTATGTATATTACCACTTTTCTGTATTCATTCATCTATTAATGGGCACTTAGATTGTTTTCATATCTTGGCTATTGTGAAATAAATAATGGTGTGATAAACATAAGGTGCATGTATCTTTTCAAATCAGGGATTTTGTTTTCTTTGGGTAAATTCCTAGAAGTGAAATTGCTTGGTCAAATAGTATTTCTATTTTTATTTTTTGAGGAACCTTCATATTGCTTTCCATAGTGGTTGTACCAATTACCATTTCTGCCAACAGTGTAGGAGGTTCCCATTTCTCCACATCCTCACCAACACTTGTTATTTTTTGTCTTTTAGGCAGTGGCCATTCTAACTGGTGCAAGGTGATATTTCATTGTGGTTTTGGTTTGCATTTCCCTGATGATTAGCGATGTGGAGCATCTTATGTGTTTGTTGGTCATCTGAATTTCTTCTTCAGAGAACTATTTATTCAGGTCCTCTGCCCATTTTAAAATTGGGAACGCCATCTTTAAATGTCTGCTTCCTTTATCATTTTTGGCAGTACCTCTTCTTTTAATTTTTAAAAATTGAAGTATATTTGATATACAATATGATATTGGTTTCAAGTATACAACATACTGATTTGGCAGTTACCTACATTATTAAATGCAATCACCCCCCTCCACTGTGTACTTACTGTCAACACAGAAAGATGTTACTGAATTATTGACTATATCCTCTATGCTGTGCGTTCATCACCATGACTAATTCGTACTATGATTGAGATTTTGTGCCTCTTTATTCCCCTTGGTAGTAACTTTTAGCTCAAGTTCTCTAAAAGCAGAGCCAGTGATGGAGATTTAAGTGCACATGATTTAATGAGGGAGTCTTAGAAGAGGTAATGGGGGAAGCAGAGAGAAGCAAACGTGTGCTCTCAACTAAATTCTATCTTCAGCTTGGCCACTTGCAGAGATATGGAACAGGAAGTGCATGAGGACGGGTCCGACCTTGAAGCAAGGGAGTCAGCTTTTTATACCTTTGTGTTAGTTGGTCCAAGTGTAAGTCCTCTCCTTGGGAGAGGGACTACTAATGTGGGAGCTGCCATTTATCCAGTACCTCCAAGAGTGCTTCTCCTGAGAAGGAGCAACTGTGTACAGTTAGCAACTAAAAAAACAACTGGAAAATAGGATCAGCCTAGTTAGCTGGGCACCAACAGCATTGCTACAATACACGACAATGATGTGGATTATGTGTGAATTGCAATTTAGGGCTTCACACGAAGTTGATAATGAGCACACCTTACATTATTCAAAAAGTGCTATTTCTCAGAAACCTTGGAAGTATATAAATTAGGGCTCTGAGAACTCTGATGGACGACTAACACAGTGGTTCTAGTGATAACATCTATATTGAATACGGCTGTGAAGAATGTGATTATTATACAATTATTTTATGAAATGAAAAAGTAGAAAATCATATATAATATTTTATGTATACTTAAAATTTATATGAGTGCCAAAATCACTATCAGATAGTTGAATATTCTATATCCTTTAAATCTTATATATTTAAGTGGGACATCACCTAATTGTCCACTTGGTCATTTGAAAGAAATTCATTAGTGAACTGTGTTAAACAACTCTGACATACAGTGGGATTAAACATTAATAGCTACCCTATTTATACAATTTTAAAAAATCTTCAAACTGTCATTTATTAAAAGGTTAAATTTCAGGTGAGATATTCATGTAGATACTACAAATTTAAAAAGGATTTTTTTTGCTGTTTTTTTTTGTAGCTCAGAGAATTGTTGTTTGATTGCAACATGTTTGTTTACATCTGCCAGCACCTGGACTTCCAATCTTCCCAACAATAGCCTGGGCTTCTTTCTGGCAGATGCTGGATATGATGTGTGGATGGGAAATAGCAGAGGGACTACCTGGTCCAGGAAACACTTATACCTAAAAACAAATTCCAGAGAATTTTGGGCTTTCAGGTACAAATAAAAATCAAGTAATGATTTATTTTAGTTTACATGTATTGAATATTTTTTTCTTTATGAGTGGAATAAAATATAAGTGTCTTTTCTCAGCTCAGAGCTTTCAGTAGACCATCAAAATTTATGTACATTTTGTCTTAAAAATTAGAGTGTTTATGTTATTTTATACTTGCTTCTCACTTTTCAGCAATAACTTTTATTGACTAACCCTACTCTTTCTTTAGCTCTTCTTTCACTCTGTAACCTATATATTTAGCCTCACTGTATTTAGAATATACAAACACCCTCTTTATAAGACTGCTTTGTGGCTATTTTTTTTCCTTGACTTTATGTTCTCACAGAGTCTCTACTCAGTAGGTAAATCATACCACAACTACCTTTCCATACCCAAAGAGAGTTGAAAATAGCTTTTATTTATTTGCGTATTAATTATCTTTAAATGTTAATATAGCATTAGTAGAATTCACTGTTTATTCTCCTTTTTCTTTTGTAGTTTTGAGGAGATGGCTAAATACAACCTTACAGCCTCTATTGGTTTCATTGTGAAGCAAACTGGACAAGAGGAAATATTTTATGTAAGCCATTCACAGGGCACTACTATTGGTATGGAAAGAAAGATTGTTGCTAATAATCCTTAATTACTTTTTAAAGTTTGTAGATATACTTTCTAAGGATGTAGGTAAGCTTAAAGACCTCTCAGTAAAATAAAGCAGAATTGTGAGATAAGCATAGAATAGTCAGTGCCCTGGAAACTTAGATGCTGCTTTGAGTCCATGTAGTCTTCTCTAGTCACAAAGAATTGTTTGTAAAAATAAGGTTTGTGATTTTGATTGTTTCCCATTGTATAGAAGGTGGATAGCCATCTTAAAATCAAAGTAAGGTCATAATTTTCAGTTATTCCACAAATAAAAATTTTGTATTTTTTAAAAATAATGTAGCATAGGGTTTTATAAGTGAGAGACTTGAAAATGCTATTTGTGTTTTAATCTTTAAGAGAGATTAAGAAATGCACAAAAATGAGGAAAGCCTTCCTATATTTAAAGATGACTCAAAAAGAATTTTCATCTCTTCACAGCACTAATGCTTCTGTCTAGGAACTTTACTTCCAGAGAAAAATTCCCCAAGACCTAGCATAATTCCCTTACATGGTGTTGTAAACCTGTTTACTCTTACTCTTTATACTTTGGAAGTAGAAAAGGCCATTTTATAAGAGAAGCCAATATTATATGAGTCTTTTATAGGCTGTGTATCATTTCTTATAGGAATAATTCATTCCTGAATAGAAAGATTTGTTGAGTAAGTCTAATTCCACATTTCATAGCTCTTGACTCTGATGTGAATTAACTACGTGCAACTTTTAGTCTTGCCAGATATTCAGTTATCTGGGAACAGGAATCTCAGAAAATTATTAAATAAGGAAAAAATGTGTGATGTGTCAGAGCTTATTGACTCATAATATGATACATAATTCTTCAATTATTTGGCTTCTCAGAATCCAGGGTAAAAAAACAACCAATAAAATAGAGATGTGCAAATATATAGTTTGACAGGATGTCAAAAGTGAAAAACTACTATTTGTCATATTAGTGACTCCAAACTCTCAGTAAAATATAAATTTCTGTTTAATATCCTCTGTACCAGAAGGCAAGAAAGTTCTAAAATATATTTGAAACATTACAATTTAACATTTATTGAGTCTCTCACCTAAAGTATAAAACTCATCTATCTGAAAAATTAACTTAACTCATTTCCACCTTCACCAGTTATACAAATGTTCAGTATTATTTCTGAACTTTTAATTGTCGTGCTCAAGGATGATTGCTGAATTATCATTGTTTATCATCTATATATTTCTTCTCAATCCTAATAATCAGCATTATGTTGTGACCAGTATGCATCTTTCATACTGGGTAAGTGAACTTAAGAAATGAATGAGTAAATTAATTGTTCAGAGCTTATTGAACTTTTATTTGCCATGGTATCATTTCTTATATGTTAGTAATTACTTGAGAATAGCTGATTTATATTTTATTTTCTTTCAGCTTTCATAACATTTTCCACCAAAGATAGCTCAAAGAATCAAAATATTTTTTGCTTTAGCACCAGTTTTTTCCATTCAATACTCAAAAAAGCCTTTACTTAAAATGGCACACAAGTGGAAGCCAGTGATCAAGGTATGTTATTCCTTTCCTTTATGCGGTTGATAACTCAAAGTGACCATGATTCTGTGCTTTCAAAATAAATGTCTTGACTATGTTTGCACAGCCACATGTATGAATTGGATATTTGGTTACCTTTACCCTGGATTCTTGCCTTTGTTTCTTTAAAGAGATAGGATTTTATTTATGACACCTTTGGACATCTCATTGTGAAAGAAAATCCAGCTGTCAAATCATCTCTACATGCTGCCCCCAATATGGCCTTAATTAAAATGTCTTAAACTACTGTGAGATAATACATTTGGTTGTAAGCATAGTGAACTCACCACAGCATTTCTTGATATTGTTTTGGTCTTCCAAATATGAATAAAGTAAATTTATTTTACAGACTTTTGCTGGCAACAAAGATTTTTTACCTAATTCATCATTTAAAAGATTTGTGGGTTCAAAGGTGTGTCCACTAAAAATTTTTGGTAATACTTGCCATGATATCTTGTTTATGATGTCTTGATATAACCGGAAGAACTTAAATATGGTGAGAACAAGTTGTATTTGTATGTATTTTATCAAGTTTTACAAAGTAGCTCTCAATAGTGATTATTTTATGCCTTGTTAGTCATTTTATGGTATACCCATTTATACTAGTAGTTAGACTCTTAGCCTTTCTGATTTTGTGACTATACCAACAATGAAACTAATTTGCATTGCCATGCCGGGATTATTTAACCTCCATATTTGTCTTCCACTCTGTAAAGAGCAGAGAACAGCTGCTGTGATGGGTAGCTTTATTATTAGTCTTTGCTATTCAGTGCTAATTTCTTTACATTTCTTGCATTAGAGTTGTCTTCTATTGACTTACTTATTTCCAATAATTCCTCCTCTTCTGTCCTGGTTCCTAACACTCTTTCCCATCCTTGTTGATCCTTTTGTAATTAGAATTAGTACCTTCTAATTATCTTACATGCTTCTGGCATTCATCAAAATTCCTGGAGTGGAAAATTGTTTTGATGCTTAAGCTACATAGCCATTTGGATTGATTGATTGTTGATTCTCTTAGAGACCTCCTAAAAATATAGGCATTCATTCTAAGATATTTTTCAGCACATTAATTTAAAAATCCAAATTTAACAGAAAAATAGTGTCATTTGGATTCATGCACATGGACCCTTTAAGAACTTACCAGTGAGAACCAATTTATTCATTTAAAGAAAGAGATGTGTTCTCTTAATTCCCAAATATTTTCATACAACAAGGATATTTTTATTTTATTCAGTCTCAAAAGGTCTTTTTCCCACTCATGGAGAGCTATATAGACAATTACATAAATTTGAAAGATATTGAAAAATTGAAGAAACATCTCAGAATAGAAGAGATGAATTCAGTTCTTTTTCTTTTTCCCATAAAGGTGAGAGCAAGCTTACTTTTGCCAAAGAAGATAAAAAAAGAATACTTTAATTCCTTCTCTTTCTCATATTTTTCTGCCATCTACTATTATATATACCTACCATGGAATGACTGGAAGGATCATAAATATAATCTTTATTTTTTCTTGCCTTATTCATTCATTCTGTGTTTGGGTAATATATTTGGCCATTGTTGTATTTTATATAATTACACTGTGGTGTCTTTGAGAGTTCTTTTTTACTTTTCTTTGTGAACTATTAGGAAAGCTTACATCTTGACTTCTTAGCATTTAAACTTGTTTGTCTCCTTTCTGGGACAAAGATTCACAGTAGTGTACATTGTAATATGGTTGTCTCCTAAATTATCTGGGATTGGGGGAAGTTTGAAGTAAAAAAATTTCATGCACATTGTGTATGGGAACAGTGAAAGTGATAGTATGGTTCAGTTTGATTCAGTCCCTTTGGGCCTATTAAGTTCTTTGAGGATGGTAGTGTCTGACTTAGAATTCTTCCCTATAGGCAGTATGAAAACACAAAAGAAAATCTTGCAGTTTGTAAAATGACAGTTACTCAGGCCAGTGTCACTCAGGCATGGAAAACCAAATAAAAGAACTGAGAGCAAGCTATCATGCAAAAAAAGTCCAGGTAGTAAAAACTCTCATCAATGTAACTTGGGGAAATGTATCATCAAACTACCCACAATTTTGACTTCATCTAATCCCTATGATTCTTTTGTGGTGGTTTACAAAAATAAATTCTAACGTATATAAAGAGAAATGAGCCTGAGATATCTGAGTGTAGTTATCAAGTATGTGTGGTTATGATTTGAATCCCTTTAGGAGCTTATTACATCTTTGATAAAGTTGAAGTAGAGACTCTGATATACATCTCACATTACTCATGGATGGGCATGATGGACATTTACGAAGGCCACTTGTAAGCTTTGTCATCCATGGGACAAGGTGTTTTGGGTTGAGTGAGCCTCTAATTGATTTCTAATTCATATGAGGGTAAAGAGTAGAGACCTCTAATGGAAGCAGTATCTGGAATATGCGTATCCAGGATAAACGTTATATTAGAATTTATTTCAAGCACAAGGAATAATTGTAGTTAAAGGATCCAGTGAATACCTAACAGTTTTAATTGTACTATGTTTATGTTAAAAAGTTTTGTATAGGCCATTTAAAGTTATTCTATCAGAACTTTACTCTTGCCAGTTCAAAGTGCCCTGAGTTGCAATGGAAACAAAAGAAATTTTCTTTTCAGCCCCCAGGTAGTCAAATGGCAAAACTTTAAAAAGGTGACATAACAATTAAGAATATATTATGAGGATTTCACTTCTGGCCATGAGTTTGTAACAGAGTCTAGAATTATCCTCTCAGCATAAATAGCTATAAAATTGGTAAAAATATAGGAAAAAATAACCCAGGTATGAAAGGCTGGGTCAATATTAAAAAATCAATTAATGTAATCCATTATATCAATAGGGTCAAAGGAAAAATCACATGATTGTATCAACAGGTAGAAAAAGCATATAACAAAATCCAACACCTATCCATGATTAAAAACCCTTAGTAAACTAGAAATAGAAAGGAACTTACTCAACTTGAGGGGATGGAAAAAGATATTTCATGCAACTAATAGAGAGAAAAAAGCAGGTGTTGTAGTACTTGTATCAGACAAAATAGACTTCAAAACAAATAAAGTCACAAGAGACAAAAAAGGACATCACGTAATGGTAAAGGGGTCAGTCCAACAAGAAGACATAACCATTATAAATAACTATGATCCCAACACAGGAGCACCTACATATATGAAACAAATAAACAGAATTAAAAGGGAAAAGAGAATGCAATGTATTCATTCTAGGAGACTTCAACACTCTATTCACTCCAAAGGACAGATCAACCAGACAGAAAATAAGTAAGGACACAGAGGCACTGAACAATGCATTAGAACACATGAACCTAACAGACATCTACAGAACTCTATACCCAAAAGCAGCAGAATA